TTAAAATAATGACGGGCATTTGTCAGACAGCATGCGGATGGAAACTAATTTTCTCTTCTTGTGAGAAATAATATCATTACCGTTGAAGATTTGAAATGTAGCTGGTAATCATCTCATACACGTCACGGCTAATATTAGAGCAGTTTTCGTATGACTGTGGAAAGCTCAGTGCCGTAAGCGTGACGTGCCGTGACCGTGATACTTTCTAGAATTTTAATTGGCTGATTTTTTTCACGCGCAATATGATTGGTCTAAAAGTGCCGTGATCTTGGCGTGACCGTGTCCGCGCCGTGTTTATGCCGTGTTCCGGGTATTTGATTGGATGGAGAGTAAATTCTCGTGCAATGTGATTGGTCTGGCGTATCCCTTGCTGTTTCACGACCGTGTTCGTGCCGTGAACTTTTCACAGTCATACGAAAACTGCACTAATAGCATTGTGTCGTCGGCTCTAGGGGCCGGTCATATTCTCATATTTTCAATCTTCATTATTAGCGTTATTAAATTTTAAAAAGGTCGTATTTTAAAGCAGTATTATCATCGTCATAATCATTTAATCATCCTCAGTCGCTATTATCAAATGAATAAGAAGAAATGTGAAGGAGAGGTCATGAGAACAAATCCAAACTTCATTTTCAACGATGTCATATTCTTGTTCACTTATATTTTTATGATTATTGCTAATTACGAAATATTTTGAGATATAATCACAAGGCGCTCGCTGATTGGCTGACTCAGTACCGCGTGTTTATATTAGAGAGAGCTGATTATTAGAGAACATGAAGAGCAAGAGACATGCTCACGCAAATATTTTATTAAAGCAAAAAGGCTGCTTATTTGTGCCTCTGTATTGTGATAAACACTCTGGGAGCCGTAAAGCATTCGAAACTTTTGGCTACGCCTCGTCAGTCCTCAACTTGGTTCTCTTGTGTTGATAGCATCCAGCGTGTTTATATGTAACAGTATAGAGACATGCGTGGGCGTTATATATATTTCAGGTTAATTCAGTACATGTGTTGATCATGATATCCTGTTAAATGGCCTTAAATCTAAATTTGGAATCTGTGATAAAGCCCTCAAGTGCTTCCAATCATATTTATCGCTCAAAGCATGTCTCGCTAGATGGCAATTTCATCTGATAAACTTGAGCTGAGTTGTGGCGTTCCTCAGGTTCTGTTCTGGGTCCAACACTATATCTCCTGTATACCTCTCTTGTTGATAAAATCTTACTTCTCATAACTTACTGTCTGTATGCTGATGATACTCATCTTTATATACCATTTACTATGCCTGTAATGATGATCTAGTTATGAATCGTACCGTCACTACGATAGAGAACTGCCTGACTGACATAGATAACCGGATGAAGATATAAATAGGCTAGATGAAACTGCACAACACAAAGATAAAACTGAACTTCTATTCCCTTACCCTAAACACAGTCCACAAAAATGAATTTCTCCCAACCTTGCGTCTTGGAACCGATCCTTTGGAACTTGAACCCGACAAAACTTTTTCGGGTTATTCAACTTCTTACCCCATGTAGAATCAATACTGTGAATATTGTCAGAAGGGTGATAGGCACTAGTCATATTCTAGTAGTCAATTGTAAATTGTCTTTAAGTAGAGACTGATTTACAATTGCTGTTAAAAATTTTTTAATGAAGTTTTCATTATTAGTATTATCGAACAAATACCACAGAAGAGTCATTAGTGTACGAATGCATATTTTTTTTACTTTTAGATATCTTGTCCCGAGTATTTGTGCGCGCTATTTCGCGCGTGAAATTCTGCTGGACATTATGCTAGAGGGCGGTTACAAGCACTACTTATGAGATATTGACAAGGTCACTATAGTATGTATTGGGGTTTTTGGTGCATTGACCGTTCTATTTATTTAGCTCCCTGTCTACTAGAGAGAAAACTGATAAAGCAAACTGGAACATGTAACGTATAATTCGCGCACGCGCACTAGCGTTTTTCTCTGAGCCTTGTGCAAATACCAGCTTAGATGCCTTCTTTGGCAGCTTTAGCACTGATCGCTATAAAGGATGGATTTAACAAGTAACACATAAATTTCCTCTGTCCTCTTTTTGATCTTGATTTGATCCTTCCCCTTTGAAGCCATCAATGTATTGAAAAACAAATCTAATATAACTGTTTAGCTGTTGAACAGATTGCTTTTCGTCTTACGGGGTTCAGTTCGTGCAAACATAGGTAAACGTTTCGAAATTTTCAAAAGTAAAATCTATAGCTAAGGTCTCGCTTTGAAAAACAGTACGTCATCTATGTGTTTGTCCTCTTATTGAACATGGCTGTCAGCCAATCTAAAAATGTTGTTTACCGCGAGATGTTGTAAAAACTACAATGGACACTACTCATGACATACTATTAAGGCGGAAGTCTTCTGAATTTATGATATATGCAGGCCTTTTTGATGTAAATGTTTTTAAATGAAACCAACCAACCAGCCAACCAACCGTCAATCCCTTGTAGTGCTCACACACTTGATGAGGTTTGCCATTCTTTCTGAATTAAAAATTAAGACCGGACTCTTTAAATTCTCAAGATCTAAACTCAATACCTGTCAGTAATTATCGCATTTATAGTTCTAATGGAGAATATGGACCTATATGAATAAAGGTTTTCGGAGCCAAAGGCAATACTGAACGAATAGGCGGTAGGCGATAGGAGATATGAAAAACTTGTGTTTTTTTGTTCTTATTATTGTCGTCAAGAACACGGAGTAGTAGTTCGTGTTGGAGTATTCAGTGTTATCACTCAAATTTCCCCTGTCGTTTTGATTTGCCAAGATAACTCCAAATAACTGCCTAGAAATACTATAATCTGCTTCTGTGCAGTAACGTTGCATTTTACCCCCAAGATGGCTCAATTTCCTGGGCTGTCAGACAATGATGTGACATATAGACAGCAAAAACAGCCAAAACACTAATAAAAAAGCCAAAATTAATTTCAATGATAAAACAATCATTGTCCTCGATCGGTTATCACAAAAATTGAGTAATTCGTTAGTGTCTCTCTCTCAAGCAATTATTTCAGTGTCTTTGCCTTCGGCATCTGCAACTCAAATAATTGCATACTCGCCACTAGCTAACATTATAATCCCGATATTTTGCTCAACCCAGCTCAACCCATCCAATAATTAACAATTATTCGCCGAAGCTCGAAGACTCGCGTCTCGGTAAATATTCCCCGATATTCACTGAGACTGAGGCAAATAATTGTTTTAATATAAATACACAGGTGATTCTTTCAAAAAAAGAAAAAGATAAAAGACGTATTTTTTCCGGTAACAGCAACAAAGCGGCTGACCGCCATTTTGGATTATTGCTGGAGCTGATTATCGTGTGATAGTGATAGTTTCTCGACCAGTCAGCACGCGAGATTTTCAATAATCACCTGTGTATTTTTACTAATTGCTTATTATCACGCTCATTCGAATTTTTTTTTTTACAATAGCGTACAAATTTCTCGCGCCTGATTGGTTATTTTTTAATCATCACTAAGAGGACAGACAGAAAGGAAGACGTCAACGAGAGTGCGCTCTTTACTTTGACCGTTTTGATCACTAAAAACGAGATGCTTTTATCGTTTTTGTTATATGCAATATATATGAAACGCTTGGTTTCTCTGTACTGTGATATAAACACTTTGGGAGCTGTAGAGCACTCGAAAACCAAGAGAAACACTCGTCTACGCCTCGTGTTCCTCTAGTGCTCTATATAGCTCCCAGCGTGTTTCAATAAAAAGAAAAGGCAAATCTGAATTAATCCTTGGTTTCGTTCCTCCTTTCTTGAGGAGGCCGGCTCATAACAGCCGTTTCTTAACTCGATGCTGATTGGTTCAAATAGCCGCGCAGTACGTAACATTTTAGACAGCCGTTTTTATGTGAGAAGTATTCTAAACCTAAGATGTTCTGAGTATCGAATAGATTGATTCAATCACGAAGCAGCTTTAATATTTACTACTTCAGAAATGTTGGCGTATGCGCGGTAAAACGGGGGATGAAGGAAACCGAGGAGCTCTGGGTACGAGACCTTTTTTTTTTTTTTTGGATGTCGGTTGGTCGACCAAGATTAATCTGAGTATTGTATCAGGCCCAATATTATATCAGGCCCCAGGGGAGGGGGAGAGGGACTGGGGAGCCTGATGCTCAGGTTAACCAAAAATTTAATAGCCCAAATTTTCTCCACGGGGGTGACGTCACATGAAAATAACTTTTGCATTTATAATTGTTTGGATAATCTGGAAAAAAGTTCGCTTTCGTGTGCACAAAACTCGTACGTGAACTTGAAAGGCTATTACACAGGTAGCCCACAAATATACTTCCACGCACACATTTCCATCAACCTCCCAATAGAAAACATCCACCTGAAAGAAATAAAATATCCTTCGCGACTGATTGATATATCATCCTAGAGAGCTGCCTTTTGAAACAACAGGCAGTCTCAAAAGTATTGTTTTAAGTGATAAATAACCGCCTCAACCCACCCCCATGTCGCTGCTGCAATTTAGATCTTAAAAAAACATAAAGTTTTAATTCATAAAGTTATCACGTTAGCTGATATCTATCATATATTCTGTAATGATCAAACTTCAGTTATAGGCCGGATTCAATGTCAGATTATTTTCATCTATTAATTTCCGGATTCCATATATTTTTCTACGCTCTTGTAACCTCATTATGAACGGTATTGTAAAATTTAATATACGTGTCGTGGCTCGTCGTAGCATGTTAACAAAGCAATGCATAAAAAAAACAGCTCGTTGTCTGTTCGTCGTCATGATCAACCACTTCTCGACTCAAACATCCTGACGTGACGTGTCTTTCTCAAAACACTGACTAAAGACAATAAAATTGTAAGCCAATCAGAAATGGCCAACTTCGTACTCCACTTCCGTGACGCAGTTTTTGTTTATGTGGACCAATCAGAATCGAACACGAGTGGTAGCCTACGATTTCCGGTCGATATTGTTGGTTGATCGTCCTCTTTTTGTCGCTCCCTTCGACAGAGAAGTCACTTTTGAAAACCCCTTAGCTCAAACCACAGCAAAATGAAGCCTTTAGTTGTTCTCTTTTTAACTTATTTAGCTCTCGCTCACAGCGAAGAGATTAAAGAAGAAGATGATGTTTTAGTGTTAACAGAAAAGAACTTTGACGAGGCTATAGCAGCTCACAAACACATTTTAGTTGAATTTTGTAAGTATATGAAGATTGTGAAAGCTTGTGTTTGTAGCAAGCTGTTCTTTTTATGTGACGTATTATTGCTGTGTTTTAGATGCACCATGGTGTGGACACTGCAAAGCTTTAGCTCCAGAATACGCAAAGGCAGCTGGTCAACTCAAAAAAGAAGAATCCGYCATTAAGCTTGCTAAAGTCGATGCTACAGCTGAAAGTAAACTGGGTGAAAAATTCAAAGTTCAGGGATATCCTACTATTAAATTCTTCAAGGATGGCCAACCACTTGAATATGGAGGTATATATCTTATTCCTTTTAATTCTTGCGTTATTTAAAAGTATATATTTTTCTTTTGAGAAGACAAGTTTATATCCAAATGCAAGCCTCACACGTGCAGCTCGCAGCAAACCTTGCAAATTCTACTCATTAAACATTGATCACTGTCTTGAATGAAAAATACTCTAACTTAAAAGCATTTTTACTTTTATCTCACTTCAACTATTCCAGTATTGTTCAGCATTTAAAACTTCAAGCACCGATTACAATTTTTTTCTATACGTGTTAATTTTCACCCATTGCAAAAAAAAGTGTCTATGATTCCTTTCTTTACATAACCTTCCTATATAGCTTCATTCTATATCTTCTAAGTGGTTAAATACATCTAAAAATCTTGTATTTATACTGTATTCCAACAAAATCATATCCAGTATTTCCTATTGTATTTATTTTGAGTTACACTTAACCATTTGCTGTAAATGAGAATCAGTTTAGACTTCTTCCCTTAGTACACGTGTACATTTACTAATTGTTTGTCATGACTGGATGGTCTCTTTAACACTCGTAAAATCTCCTTATTCTTATTATAAAATATTATCAACAACCTCTCTGATAGTCTAAGATTTCTCTTTTTCCTGTGTTTTGACTTTCATAACCTGATTTTCTAAACAAATTTTGTACATGGTATTTAATATGTCCAGCATATGTTTTTAACTGTGCTATTCAACAGTGTTGCTCTTTTTTTTCCTTCTTGAATTGAATACTAAAATCATACGATTGTTTAACATGACCTGGACTATTTCAATTGGCTGATGCTTATATTTTAAAAGCCATCATTTACATAATTTGACTTTTGTTATGGTTCAGTGGTTATCTATTTGTTAGACTGTATTAAAGTCTATTATAAAACCACATTATTCTTTACATTTTCTTTAAATTTTCATAACTTTTCTTTGTTTTAACTGCAAAAGTTTTTTCCATACTTTGAGCATTCCTATTTTTTGGATATGCTCACTTTAAATATTTAAAAAAAAAAATTTAGTCCAAGTAAAAAAAAAAATGTTTATTGTCCCCGCCTGCTTCATTTTTTTGAGCCGCCTTTTTTAAAATTATTTGTTGTTTTTTAAAAATCGAAACAAAAAAAAGTAACAGGCGCTACTTTTGTTTTGAACCCAGTCTCTCTCAATTTGGTATAAAGAGAAATTTGGAAAAAACATGACTTTTGTTTGTGTGTAAATACAAAAATAAACCCTCCTGCCTGTGTTCTTTTTTTTTAGAAATCCAGACAATAATTTTTTTACTTGGCCTTAGGTCATTCAAGTTTACCAAAGTTTATGACTCTATATGAACAGTTATTAAATGCCTGCATATGTGTGTCAAACTTAAGCCATCCATTATGAAATGTAAACACCTGCTTGAGGTTTTAGATTTTTCATTTTATCTGTTTCAACACAGCTGTTAGTTTATTCAGCTGGGCCCTCAAATTGTTGGTATCACATGATGAATTTTAAGAAAATGTTTGAATAAGAAAAAAGCATGTTTACAAAGTACTCCCTGCAAAATAAATGAAAGTAAGTATACTTTCTCTTGTAAAAGAAATACTTGTTGGAATTTGAGATCTCCGAGTTCCCCTCATTGAAAAAACCCAGAGATTATCATAAGTATTTGTTATATGATAAACAAGAATACTGCGATATATTTTTTAGAAAAATATTGTTTTCAATAATGCTTTAAAAATGTAGATCTTTTTCATTTGAAATGGAAATAGTAATTTTATAATTTCTAATATGTTCATAGGTGGCCGTACCCAAGACGAGATTGTTGCCTGGCTGAACAAGAAGACTGGTCCTCCAGCTAAAGCACTTACAACTGCTGAAGATGTTAAGACATTTATTGAAAAAGAAGTTGCAGTCATTGGTTTCTTCAAGGATCAAGAATCTGATGCTGCCAAAGCTTTCCTGGCTGCTGCCGATGGTATTGATGATATTGAGTTTGGTCTCGTAACTGATGCCGCCATTGCATCTGAGCATAAAGTTGATGGAGATAAAATTGTCCTCTTTAAGAAGGTATGTATAAAAATTGTAATCTATTGGTAATAAATATAACTGTTGCTGTTATCTTGTGAGGCTCAAGCCCTTTATGCTAATAGACCATGTTTGATATCTTGAAATCCATGCTTGATTGCAAGGCTTTGCATGGTGTAGCTGTATGCAACCTCGTGTATGGTAAAAACATGTGGATCACTAAATGCATTTATCAGTAGGGATAAGATAATGCACAACATACAGCGTTCCTACCTTTTCTCAATAATAAGAACATTTTGGTAGAAATGGCAGTCAGTTCAATACTCAACAATGTTATAATAGAATCTACAGCACTATTCAATCCTTTTGAGGTTTAATACAATTTCAAAACATTTTATTCATAAAAGCCTTGGTATTGTACCAGAATGTAACCTTTGGTGACTTCCTGCTCACTTGTTTACTCATGGCCCCAATAGTTGCCAAGCAACATATTTTCTTAACAGTGAAAAGTGGTGGATAAAAATGATCAATTTTTGAATTCTGTGTTTAAAGCTAAAAGAACAATAGGGTTGAGTGAATGACGTCATTTAATCACAATTTAGATGCTACAATAATTATTATTGTATACTGTAGCATCTAAATTCTGACAAGATGACTTCATTCATTCACCCCATTGTTCTTTTAGCTTTAAACCCAAAATGTCTTGGAATAAGCAGCTACCAATTTTGACTGATTTTCATCCAAATGCCCCTTTAAGTAGATCTATACATGAGTACAGTAATGAACACAAACAACAGTCTTAATCTTAAGGAAATGAAGCAGTGGTTAGACTTCAATGTGTATTTGCGAAAGAAAATAATCTTATACAAATTATTTACTTTTGAGTTTAATTTTTCATGTAAGTAAAAATAATTATTAGTTTTTGTTCCCCTCCTTTCCACCCACTTAATTTCCTATAAAATTTTCGAATGATATTGATATTTTTTATTTCTATTTCAGTTTGATGAGGGACGTAATGACTATGATGGAGAATATGAATTTGAAAAGATCCAGAAGTTCGTTAAAGCCAACCAACTCCCTCTTGTAACAGAATTCAGTGATGAGGTTTGTAAAGTTTTGTTCTCCTTCTACCATTTTATTATCATTTAATATATGATCATGAAGTATTCAAGATATAAGGCATGCACTGATTGAGGCTGGCTACCGTGTTTATATCAGAGGACAGCTATACACACTAGCACAAACCGTGCAAAGTTGTCCAAAGTTGCACTTGAAAAGAGAGAGAAGCACTCAGCTATGAATTGCCCTATTTCACTATGACGTCACATCAAAACAATCTATTGCTTAAACGCAAAGGATCATGGTCGTCGGAGGGGGTCAAATCAATGCAACTTCACCGAAATTGTTCTAAAACCCGTATCAATCCATGAAGAGAAGTAGAATAGCCAGTAAACGCTCAGAATATTTTTAGTACATATTAACACATATTATATCTGAAAACCAGGCCATTTTAGATTAAACTGTTTCACTAGGAGCAAATTTTGTTGAATTTTTGTATTGGATTTGGCGATTCTATCCCCCACATAAACAAGCAGTGATGTCATAGTGAAATAGGGCAATTGTGTCACTAAGCTTGCTTCTCACATGCTCTACAGTTAGGGTGTAACGGTGCATCGGAATATCGATATATTGTAATATTAAAGCCAAGATAGCGATGCATTGATGGAAACATTGTATTATCGATAACTATTGCGATAGTTGACTTTGAATATCGATTGTATCAATTGTCTCACTCTGAAATGATAACAAACATAAAAAATTTGTTAGTAGATAAGGTGCAAGAGCCTGGTAACAAGGATTTCCCTTAGAGGGGGAAGCATAAAATTCAGTCCAACCTCAT